TGCGGCGGTTTGTATTATTGCGATATTATTCCTTGCGAATATTGTGATGCTTGAGTGCCGACTGTTCTGTCTGGACGTTAGTTCTGAATGCGTGGTGCGCTCTGACGTGCTTTAGTGAACGCTGTCACACGGGTACTTGCTGCATGTGGCCGCGCTGCACTGTATTTGATCCAGACCGTGTAGCGCTGACTAATACCCGTTTCCCTCGAGAAATTTCAATCGCGCGTAACAACTTTGTCGCTGCTGCGCTGTACAGCATCGAGTTCGGCGCAGATGCCCTGTACCGCGATCATAAGTGTCAGTGTGACACCGGCGGTATGAATATCGCATTATTTCCTGTACTCGCACAGGTAGCCCAAGTAGCATAGAGAGAAAAAAAAAGCTGTGACTTCGATATCACCTGTCGGTGATCACACGTGAATGTTTATACCATGTTAAGCCGTTCAGTTCTGTACACTTTTGTGGCCTCCATTTCTTTGATTGCTGCTTACATGACAATGCAAGAAAAAAGCAGTCTACTAATTAGATAAAAATTACGCAGAAACGGTGCATCATACTTAGGCAAGTCTCTAGGAAACATTAAATGTCGGCAAAGTAGCCCATGTACATGTTTGGTCTTGCAAACAAGGTTATTGCTCACGCTTTTGGCAAATTTTGTTGTTATGATTCTGCTGACATGAGCCGCAGTGTACCACCGCATTATACATATGTTGTATGATTGGTGTACTAAGTGGTCACCTGTTAATTGCGATCTGCAAAAAAAGCGAGTGCTTTGCCTTCAGCGCAACTTTGGCATGCCCGCTTTTTGCTTAACACCTAAATCTAAACCTCGTCGTACATTGAAGGTGTCATCATCATCAGCTTGACTACGCCTGCTGCAGGGCAAAGGCATCTCTCATGATCGGCCAATCAACCCGGTCTTGTGCTTTTCGTTGCCATGTTATATCTGCAAACATTTTAATCTCATAGACGCACCTAACTTTCTGTCTCCCCTTCGTGCGTTTGCCTTCTCTTGGAATTCAGTCAGTTACTCTTATTGACCAGCGGTTATCCTGCCTAATTGCAATGTGCCTTGCCCATGTTCATTTCCTATTCTTGATTACAACTATGATATCCTGAACCCTGGTTTGTTCGCTGACCCACTCTGCTCTTTTCTTGTCTTTTAATGATAAACCTATCATTCCTTTCCTTCGCTCACTAGGTCATCCTCAATTTAAGGTCAACCCTCTTTTTAAGCCTCCAGGTTTGTTTTACATAGGTAAATACTGGCAAAATGCAGTTGTTATATACCTTCCTCTTGAGGGTTAGTGGCAGGTTACCATTCATGATTAGAGAATGCTTCCTGAATGTGAACAACCCCATCTTTATTCTTCTAATTACTTCACTCTCATGGTTTAGCTTCACGGCTCTTACCTGTCCTAAGTAGACATAATCCTTTACAACTTCCAGTGTCTCTCCACCTATCATAAAGTGCTGTTTTCTGCCGAGACTGTAGCAGATTACTTTAGTTTTGTGAACATTCATCTTCAGGCCTACTTTTCTGCTTTAAATTTCATGTTCAGTTCTGTGATCGTGAGCTGTAATTCATCTCCTAAGTTACTCATCGAGGCAATGTCATCAGCAAATAGCAGGTTACTAAGATACTTTCCATTAACTCTTATTCCTAACTCTTCCCAAGCTAGGGTCCTGAAAACCTCCTGTAAAGACGAGAAGAATAGCACTGAAAAGATTGTATCTCTCTGCCTTACACTCTTCTTTATTAGAATTCTGCCACATTCTTTAAGGTGGCTGTGCATCCACTGTAGATTTCTTCCAGTATATTTATGTAGCATTCTTCGATGCCCTGATTCAGTAGTGCCTGCATTGCTGCTGATGTCTTGACTGAGTCAAACACCTTCTCGTACTCTATGAAGGCTATTTATAGGTGTTGACTGTATGTGAAGGTGTTCTTTGATATGTTTATGGCAGACGATAACGTTAACATTATGGTACATTCCACAGTGCAGTTAAGTGTGGCGTATTTCAATCGGTGCATCTTCTTTTCATGATCTAGCAGTAATTTATTTTGGGCAGAAATGTCAATCACAGTCTTGTTGCTTTTCCCACTTCATAATGCAAATATTTAATAAAAGATCACATCTCATACATTAATAAAAGGACCAGGGCAGTGAAGGGCCTTGACACTTTGATCATGTACTACCATATTGCAATTTTCAACTGCAACTCAGATCACTGCTTGGCATATTTAATGCATAATAAAATCTGTCGCTGCAACATTTGTCTGTGTAAACTTTTCGTGTTGAAAACATGCTCAGACGATCAACAACAGCTGGTCCATTAGTTTTTAAAAAGCACTCAAGTGGTACTCCATGCCTACTGACTATAGCACATCGTAATAGTATTTGTCTAAAATGTGTGGTCAATAGAAACAAAACAACCGCTGGGAGCACTTGATCATAGCTTTATTGGGAGTCTGTCGCTATGTACATATCTTTTGTACTTGCATAAGTTTCTGTGCTTGCAGGCTCATGCACAGCAGAGCAGAAGGAACCTACGTTGTTCTCCATTAAAATCATAATAAAAAAATTTGATCTACCTTTTGCAGCCATGCATTTCAACTAGAAAGTTCGTCTGGTTAGAGTTAGTTGAGAAGGTAAAAGTGCTTATGATCTTTAGATGCTCTAACACCCCCTGAGGAGGCTTTGGTGGCCAAAAAGAAAATGCTTTCTTAGCAGAAAAACCAAGGCAAGGCTCTTCTTGATTGTGATTAAAAAGCCTTTGCTAGTCTTCGGCAAAAGAGCTTTAATGCCCTTTGCTAACACCAAGGAAAGTCAACTGTTTTTCTAAGCCTTAAGCTCTTTTGCTGGCCTCCGAACAATGTTATACCAAGCTCTATTTTTCACTATTTATATAGCTTCTTTCCCATTCTTTTATAACAAACTGCTAGTACCTGAACGTTAAATGTCTAGAAATTCAATTACTTCTGAAGTCAAGATTGTCACAAATTATTTGGATTTTCTTTAGCGTGTCAGGATGGTGTCATAACATATTGAACTTCACTGTAATTAGTAGAGTATTCTTGCTCTGGTTTAACAGGTGCTGTTTCAATTCCTATGCATTTGCATAGATTGTCAAACACATCACAAATGTTCTAATAACAAATGCCTCAACTTAGTAAACAGAAAACTTGTGTAATTCAAATGTTGTGTTTTAATGTATCTCATGAAGAGGGCAACTTCATTCAGTAAAAGTATTGCTGGTAGTCTCCATAGTCATAGAACTAATTGAATTCAAGTAATTAGTATTGAGGTTCCACTTTGTTGCATGTGCATGTAGTAGCACCTTATTTACCCTCTTCTTTATGCCTCTGCATTTCATTATAGACATTTGAACAAACCGGAAGTGTTGTATTATTATTGCCTGTCCTTGTCATATTTCACTCTGACTTAGCATAAAATTTGATGCTAGATGCCAAAAAACAGATTAATATGTCACATCTCCCATTGACCACGAAGAGGTTTTTTTTTAAGCTATTGTTCAAGGCAGTGACGTTATTCAGCATTCTGCTGTAGAGCATATGAGCAATACAGTTTGTTTGTACAGGACGCTTTACCATCGGTCGCATATACATGCTTTTTGGTCTACACATGTAGCTTTAAAAATCATTACTGTAAATGCGGCTTTGTTTAAATTTGAAATGTGCATTAAAAGAAAGTCTGTATCTCTAATCTGACCCTAAGGTAAAGGGAAATGGTACCGTACAGTCAGGGGTGGATCCAACCAATCATTTTAGAGGGAGGGGGGTTGCTTAAATTAACACCAGAGAGAGGTGCATGGCCCTTACTTTTTGTTTTTTTACTAGCTTAAAAACTCTATCATAGAATAAATACTATTATTGTGTGCTTAAAGGAATCCCAGTCATTTGTCCTAATTGGTGATAACATGTAAACGGCAAGCACTGAAGAGAGCGGGCGGGGATACTCACAGGCTTTGGGGAGGGGGGCGATCGCCTCCAGCGCCCCCCTTCTGGATCCGCCACTGCGTGCAGTTCTGCACAAGATCACAGGATTGATTCCGAACCTCAGGAGTGGCATTATAATAGTTGTAATATGTACTAGTGCCCTAGTTTTATGCACGCAGGGAGAATATGAGGTCAAAATAATTAAGCTTTAACTTGAAACAGTGCATCTCATAACCAGATTTTAGTTTTGTGACATGAAATCGTCGAACTTAATTTTAATAATTCTTCTCTAAAGTAGCATAGATGTACAGTGCTTGCAAAATTCTGCTCCCAGTTTTTTTTCATGTGAGTGTGTGGTTCATCACAGAGTTTATGGCACTATTTAGCAGTGTGATTTTTCAAGGCCTTGCCTATTCCCATGACCTTTTTTTTTACATTTGTTCAAACCAGAAGACAAGTTCACCAGGGAACATTTACTGCATGGGAGGATGTTTGAAACAGTTCGTTATGTGTTCAAGTTGGCCCATACACACATATTTTGCAAATGAACAAAGTTTCTTCATCTTCATTGGGCAAACTAATTTTATATGATTGTCCAGCAGTAATGCAACTATACAGCCGATGAAATACGGTTTCAGGACAAAATATAAATGTTTACTAAATGTTACTGACAAGAAAATGTAAAGTTGGGCGTCTGTCATAATCATATGGTGGTTTTAGGATGTTGAACCCCACACATCACCGAAAATGATAAGGTAACCTTGCCTGAAAAAGTTGCATTTTATTTACTACACACTTCAAGGATCAATATGAATTTTCTGCAATCAGAGACAATTGCAAATCTAGAAAAAAAAAGTGCATCTTAAAACCAAACGAGGGAGCAGATAAACATTAATGCCACTCAGCACTTTTACTAAATATCCTATCCAAGAATGCAGCAAAATAAGCACCTGCAAACATATGTGCTAGTACTAACAACAGAATGCTCAGCTTGAGGTTTTTGATGCAGAAAAATAAAGAAATTATGAAAACGACCACATGTTGGGTGATGAAGACAAGGCTTTATTAGCAGTTTTTACAATGCTTATCTTATGGTTCGTTTCAATATTGTTCCTCACTTAACTCGTTGTGCACTTGGCTGGACTGCAGATTCATTTCCACCACTGTCACTTATCCTCCTTTGAGGTCCTTGGCAGCAAGTACACCCACCTGTAATAGACATGGCAAATCACCCCACCTCCTCCTTTATTTTTCTGTACAATTCAAGCAGCAGCCTATCTTTCCACTCGTAAATAAAGGTGGCGGTGAGTAAGCTGTGCATGCATGAAACTTCACTGCATGGCTGGGGCTGCGATTCAAAGCATAAACTCTCATAAGAAACTTTAATAAGTGTCCACTTTGTTCGGACTGCAGATATTTAGGCAAAATGGGTTGAAACACAATATGAATATAGGTATGAATTTTTAGTGCAAAGTATCGCACAGTTAAAATAGTGTGAAGAGAACACTCACAGATAGAGCAGCTGAATTGGTGGCAAGCATTCCTTGGTTGTACGCGTATTCACATTCAATGGGCCTCTTGTACTGCCCTGGCAATGCTATAAAAAAGGGACATGCTAGTGCCTCCATTCCAACTTCAATCGCGAGTAGGCACTGTAAAATACAGAGCAAGCGCCCCCTCCCCTCCTGCAATGATTTTTCAACCTGTTCTTCACTACGTAATTCTACAGCAGCAGTTATTTGGAACCAAAGTTCTGAGAGTCCCTATATATGTGCAAGATTTTTTTGGTCGCATTCTGAGTTGTCACAAATTGTCTGGACATTTGTAGAACATCTTTCCCACCTTCTCATAACACCTGAAATTTCACACAAGGATTCTCCTCGGGTCAGTAAAACAGTAAATGTGTGTGTATTCATTACAACATTTCATTAGAAACACAGGCGTGCATTTTTCTTAAAGGCACTTCTATATTGAATTAGTGTCTAAGACCAAACAAGGGTCCCCTTCCTGATCATCTTTCAGCGTCGTGGGGGTGATTTCTCGGGATTTTACAGTAGTATGAAGTTGGAGGTAGTGCTTGGGCCAGTGTGCATCTCTCACTTTAAAGTACTAAGAACCTGGAAGCTTGTACCCCTATGCAAAGAGAGGAAACACAGCCCACCAAATACGTTTGCACTGTTTCAAGTTTTTGTTCACCATGGTGAAACTCGCATGTCCATCAAACAAGTTGTGTAAATGAGGCCAATCTTCAGCCATGTGTAGCCTTTGAGCTTGTGAGAACACACTTCCCACGTTACCAGTCATGGTCAGCATGGCTACACACTGTTGTCCTTTATGAGAGGGAAAACGTCAACATATGGACTGCGCTCAGCGGCGACTGGCTACAGTACCATCAACCTACAGCTGAAGAAAGCGTGCCTGCTTCTGTTTTTATCAGCGCCTATCCGACGACCATAATTCTTTCTTCTGTTTGCCAATAGATGCCTTCAAAAGGCGATGTGCTTTGTTTAGCGGTTGTTTTGGTTGTTCCAATTCAGTTAGTAAATAATGCTAAGACAGTACCGCTACAAAAACTGGACATGTCATTTCTTTTGTTGCAATGAGTGGCTAATGACCCAGTTATCTTGACTGAAAACCTTTTTTAACGAAGCGCACAACAGTTAAATTGTTCAAAGACATTTGCGTAGTGTTCTGCTCGGGCGTATGAACGTTGCCTCACAATATACCACAGTGCTGCAGACTTGTGAGACTGTATTTTTTTGCTTGTTTGAGATATGCAGTGCATGGGCTCGTGTATATGTACATTTATAGTGTGTCTGTTGCAATAAATTGTCCTCTGTGTCACGCTGCCTATCCTCCATCCTTCTAGGATTATACGCATTGAGATGTGATACACCTGAGAATACAACTACACAGACTTTCATTTCTCTTTGGGCCAGGTGAATGAACTGGTCAGCTACTCTACATCATTCTTATTAGTTTTTTTTCTTTTGATGTTGAAAGGACACAAAAGAGCTAAATAATTTTTCCCATACTATTGAAGTGTGATTTCACATCACCACTCTTACTACGCCACGACGCTTGGCAAGTGCGAAACCGCACCACTCTTACCACGACACGACGTTTGGCAAGTGCGAAACCGCGCAAAGAAAATGTCTCACCAAACCATGACATCATTAACTTTGATAGCATTTACTGGGTTCTACATAGCTTATAATCGATAAAAATGAAGGAAATTGTCATCTGTGGGTGTCATAGACCTAGCATATGAAGTTTCAGAAAATATCGCCGAGCCAATCGCAAAATTGTGAATAATACATTTAAAAACTTTTGACGTCACGCATGGACATTTCGGCACAACTTTCAATAGTGAAACTTCAACCTTAATTTTCTCCTCTAATAATGAACTAGGGATAGTGAAACATATGGCATTGGCATTAGATTACTCAAAGTGCAGTTTGTCGATCTAAACAAGATCACTGTTTCTATTCAGTATCCTTGTAATGCTTTTGTAAAATACACACAAGAAGCTTGTGAATCAAGTGCAAAGCTGCCCAGCAAACGGGTGTTGGGAGTATGGAGTTTGATCAATGTGATTTCAACCATGTCGCATCGCTGCAGTGAAGGGAACCAAACTGCTCGAGACTAAAGCAGCAGAGGCCTATAAATCCTTCCAAAGTTTTCTTTCATAGTTTTAACCACATGGGTTCAATAGTGGCAAAAGATGACATTTATTCCACTTGTTCTTTACAACTCTATCATAAACAGAGACTAACACATGCATTTTTCTTGGTTTAAATGTTGTTTTTTTTATCTTTCAGTGGATAGGTTGTCTTGAGGTAACACTGGTATTAGAAATAGAATCATTTTGAAGAATATATTCAATATCTCTGCTGCTAGCCTCCTCTCTGACATGCATTCATGACAATTGCATCAATTGGCAATCGTAAGAAGTTTTACCCTTGTAGTAAATTTACCATGCACCACCCTTTCAGCAAAATTAACTTTCTAGATATGGCGGTATCTATTGAAACATTCCTTATTGTGAGGTATGAAAAAAATACAAATCTTTTGCCCACACCATAAACATATAGCAGGCAATGCCAATCAGAAAAGAAAAATGAACAGGGCAGAGCCAAGTTAAATTTTGAGGAGGAAGGGTGTGTCGAAGGAGTGGACTCCACCCCAGTCGAACCGGACAAAAAGAAGAAGAAAAAAAAAGATCTTGCTTTGGTTACAATGTCACGACCTCGTGACCAGATGTCATGGGGTCGTGACGTGGCTAAAGACAGGATACTTTGTGTTGGGATTTAACTGTTTATTTCGGCGGACCTGTACCCGGTAAACAGAAAGTCCGATTACAGTAGCAGTCTTGCACAGATAGCAGTGAACAGAGCGTCGGCCGTCGATCAACTACAGGGACAACGAAGAAAAACTCGGTCGTGTGTACTTCTACCTGGAAGACAACGCAAGGACCTGGCTCGAGAATCGGGAGTCCACGCTCCGTACGTGAGATGTCTTCTGCAGCGAATTTCTGCAAATGTTCGCGAGCGTCGCTCGAAAATAGAGGGCCGCTGCTTTACTAGAGACCCGTGTGCAGCTACCAAATGAAAAGGTTGCCATTTTCACATAACAGATGACCCGCCTATTCCGTCACGCTGACCCAGACATGCCTGGGGAGAAGAAACTTAACTTTCTCATGCGAGGGGTCAAACAGGAGCTCTTCGCGGGACTAATAAGGAATCCACCGAACACCGTTCAAAAGTTTGTATTTGAGGCGGCCACTATCGAAAAAAACCCTGGACATGCGCACCAGACAGTATAATCGTCGCCTGACTCCAGAATGCACTGCTGCTCAAGCCAGTGACTCCGAAGACCTGCGTGAAACGATCCAAGCGATCGTGTGAGAAGAGCTGCGTAAGCTGTTGCCTTCAGCGCAGCCTCAAGTGGGTTCGATCGCCGACATTGTGCGAGAAGAAGTTCGGCAATCGCTTCGAAATCTTCAAACACCGCCGCCCAAGCCAGAAACTATGAGCTACGCCGTTGCAGTGCGCCACAGCGCTCCTCCTCATCCACGCCAAAACGCAGCCCCGTCGCACTTCCATCGCCAGACGCCACCGCCGCCACCAACCCCACCGACGTCCTACCGTTCGCCAGAGGGCCAGCGCAGTGCACCGAAAAAAAAAACGGGCGTTTCGCGTGCACCTGGCAACCGCCCGCTCTGCTACCACTGCGGCGAGGCCGGACACATACCACCGTTGCCGGTAACGACAGATGGGACTGCGTGGCTTCGCCATCAATGCACCGCGTCCGCAGCCAGGAGAACAGCCACCTGACATCGCCGACTACTTGACAGGAACTCATTGGACACCACGAAGTCCTTCTCGTTCGCCGTCACCCAGCCGCCGCATGTCACCGCACCACCGGCAGTACTCTGGCCCAATGCGGGGCCGGTCTCGTAGCCTGTATCCGGGAAACTAAGGGCAGCAACCGATGGAGGTGTGGTTGCTGTGCGACGAACTACCGAATATCGTCCTCCGACGACGACGCTGTGACGGAGCTCTCCGAACACAACGCCAACCAGGCAAAGCCGTCACGGCGAAAACTCACTTACCGAAGGTGGCCTGACGACGCGACATGGAAGCAGCGGAACAAGCCGACGCAGCCGTGACCCGACGCCATGCCCTAACTGTAACGCGAGACGGCGAACTAGCGACCTTAACGTTCTTATCGACGGCCACAGTGTTACCGGTCTCGTCGATACTGGAGCCGACTATTCCGTCATCAGTGGGCCGTTCGCCGCGAAGTTGAGGAAAGTTAGGACAGCTTGGGAAAGCCCCGAAATCCGCACAGCTGGAGGTTATCTCATAACACCTGCAGGAATCTGCACAGCGAGAGTCACCATTAACGGCAGTATTGATCCTACAGACTTCGTAGTCCTACAGTGTTGCTCGAGAGATGTCGTCCTTGGCATGGACTTTTTATGCCTCCATGGTGCTGTCATCAACCTAAGAACAAAGTCGATAACATTATCCACACAAGAAGCACTACCGCCGCGCACGACGTCAGGAAACCATTCATTGAATGTGCTAGAAGAACAGTTACCATTTCGCCTCGCATTCTCGCCTCGAAACCCTGTACAGACTCTCTTTTACAGACAAATCAAAGGTTACGCTCTACATAATGCAAACGAATAGCCAACTATAATACATAGACTACACAAGTCATCATCTATTACACGGCAAAGAAGTAATATTCATCAGACAGGCAAAGCGTTTAAGAAGCGTCTGTAGCGACAACCATCACTATGCTCACCAATTAAGCAAGCCAAAGGAGACATTTGGTGAAATGACCTGCAAAACACTCAGAACAAAATTCAAAATGAAGCTTGAAAACGAGGAAATCATCACTAGGTGAAGATGTTCCATAGCACAGCCTAACCAGCCGCTAGCCTTTGCAATCAAATACTGAAATGCATTTCCAAACTCAAATAATATCTTTCGCAAGTATTACCCAACATTAACTAGCAACGAGCCGCATCGGAAAAAGTTCCCCGACATGATAGTGCATGCAA